ATAATTATGATTAGCATGAATCACAGTATGATTTAGGTGATTACCCCCTTCAGGGGAATTGTGCTTGTATCCTTCAGTTCTCTGTGATGCAAAGAGAGAAAGAAGATTACATTTGTTTAGAGGACTCTAAAGTACTTACCAATGCAGTGCTGGATATTTGTCTGTAGAACATGATGACCTGAGCTCTCTCACCTCACCCCAGATACAGTCACCTGGCCCTAACAGAGTGGCTCACAGATCCTGACTTAAGCTTGCTCAGAGGCTGTTTTGCAATGCCTAGAAACAGGCCGAGAAAGATGATCTACAAAACTCTTTTGCATTTGTTAAAGAGCTGCGTAAAACTAGTCGATAGAAAACACTCCATATGTATTTCTAGATGCAGACCAGGCTTATCAGAGACAAGAAGCCTCTGTCAATCTAGGATCAGATGCTAGGCCCATTCCTGAAAGTCTGGAGTTTCAACTGAGGCAGCTTATATTCATTAAAGGGTAGATGTCAGCAGTGCTCTCTGACTGTACACACTACCCTAAGTGGCTACGTGCACTCGCCCAAACAGTGAGGGACCTGTGTGTTGAATTTGAAGCTCACCCTGAGGAAATTCACATCTGCATTTTAGTCTAGGTGAGTGCAACATTTGGCTTTCACATGTAGCCGGATGACTATATGAAAAGAAATGCAAGACTTGTGGTGGCAGGTGGAGAATGGGAGAGAAGGATAAATCAGCAGTTTGATTTTGAGAGCACACTGCTTGGATGTGGAGGAAATTGGGTTCTCATGATTGTCAGTCTGCTTCTGATTTTCTAATCCAATTACCATGCAGTTTAAAAATACATAAACAGTTCAGGGCACAAGGATTTGAGTGTAAGTCTCTTTTTATCAGCAATATGTCCCATTCACTCATCTGCAAAGCCCAGTTTTCTAAATTGTCTCTATCTGGTCCCAGGAATCTCACGTGTTATATTGTACATTGGTGCAGAGGTGGGAAACATCCATGACAAGTCAAGCTGTCACGGCTTTTACCTCACCTGAAAATTGGAAAGTCTCTCAGGAGGAAGGTGTGGATTTAAATACTAAGCAGAGAAAAAAGGTGGTACTGGGTTTTGCATTTTCTCCCTAAAGTGCAAGTTGTTTGAACTGGGAGCTACCTGGCTGAGTACTGCTGAAGGGACACCTTTTGTCTGGCCCTGCTTTTCAGCGGAAGTGTCCCCCAGCTGCTACTCTCCAGAGAAGGCCATACCCTGGGTGTGCTTGAAGAATGCCGTCAGCATGGCTGTGGGGCCAGGCTCCCCGGAGGTGTCCATCTACCACCAGCCCAGGTCATGATGGAGGACAGATGAGTGCTGGTCACCTCACTCCCCAATGGCCACTTCTCCTGTACATGTGTGGGCACCTATGAAACGTAACAACTCAAAATTAAGGTATCAAACTAGAGTAAACAAATGATGAATTGTGTGATTTGGGATACATATCCCCATATGGTGGTTTGGGTTTTTTTATGTTCACTCTTCCTGGTTTGCACCACATCAGTAGTTTCTTAATCTCCAGGCATACAAAAAAATAATAAATCCAAACAGATAAAAAATGGCTCTCCTGTCCTTCAGTCTCATTCTACCCTGTGGCCTAATGCTCTTCCTAGCAAAAATAGGAAAAGATTTGTTTGTATTATCCACAGATCACTGGTCAGGTAATTTTTTGTAACTTGTCTGTAAAGCAGTGGAGCGATATAAATAACAACGAGAAAGTAAAAATGAAAATCACTCAGCAGTTGATATAATCCTCTCTGTTTTGTTTTGTATCATTGAAAATCTTTTCTTGTCTCTTGGCATTTTTTTCCCTAGAAATTAGTAAACTAGAGAAAGTTTAGCATGTCACGTCATCTCTCTAACAGACTCTTGCTCACATTCATTTAGTGAATTACATTGGACCCCACAAGTGATCCCAAAGCATATTCTCTCTTAGTGTCACTTTATTGTTATTTATTGTGTCACTAGAGCCTATATGCAGCAATTTGCAGAGTGTGAAAGACAAAGCTGCTGCTTGGCACTCCTCAGCTTAGTGAAACAAAAATAAAATAATATTCAAAAATTAATACTCAAACACAAAGAAGATACATAAATCCCAGTCTAAAAAGAAGATATAAAATAGTTACTCTATTTATTATTTATTTTCTCATAAGGTTTTTCTATGCTGGCAGAGTTTTCTTAACATGCATAAATACAGACATGATTAAATTTTGGATGACTAAAAAAGTGTAGGAATATAGCCATTGTGAAGAAGACTATAAGGTGACCAGAAGAAACTGTGAAACTGGTTGTGGGAAACAAATACAGAAGTAGAATGAAAGCTATTTGGAAATGAACAGTAAAACTAATTATATGCTTACAAAGCAAAAAAAAACCAAAACAAAACAAAACATTTTTTTCATAAATATATTTGTATAACTATATAAGCTCCATTTAAACAAACAAAAAAAATTAAATATTCTTATCCATTTCAGACTGATGAAAGATTTTAGAACAATAAAACCAATATGTTCCTCACATTTAGGAAGAAGAAATTTAACATAACAACCCAGACAGAATAAGAAGGATATAGCAATGAAAAAAAATCTTTCATAGAGGAAATATTTCCAGTCTGCAAAATGACAGAGCAGACTTGCAAAAAAAAATAATTATAAATAAAAGTATTAATGATGATGTGTAGTTATATTCAAAATCTTGAGATGTGAACAAAATGTTCTCAGCAAGTTTTTGTTAATTTTCTACCAGTATTGTAGATTAGTTCTAAGCTCTTTTAAAAAAAATAATGATATCATAGGTAACTGTGGAATAATTGTCGCTACACAGCTGAAATTGACTTTATCATCAATCAATGTCACATTCGAGCCATAAATATCTGTACGATGTCACAGCTGTTAAATGATGTCACAGCAACACATTAGCATTATGCAACACTAAAGAGCTGAGGGTCACAAAACGGTTTTGAGACTTTACATCTACAGTGCCACTTCTTGGCCACTTGGAGCCATTTGATACTGTTTTCACCTGTTCCATCCATGAATAACAGAGAAATACAATAGTTATCTGCACCTAAGCTAATCACACTCACTACTCTTTCATTAAAAGCAGTAGAGAAAACCGGAAACTTTCAGACTATTGTTTATCTCATTTTAAAGTCAGTGTGTAAAATAGGTCAGAAGTATTGCACCTTGAAAGGTTATTTCTGTCCCATGATTAGAAAAGGATCCTACAAAGACTACATCACATGCAGATGTCTCCACTGTAGATTTCTAAAGTTAAGTGAGATTGATTCCACTAATACATTTTAAATCCTTATTTTTCTGTATTAAATTCTGGTTACAGGTGTCCAAAAGTGCAGATAATGCTCCTGTGAGCACCAGTGATCACTCTGCTTGCTTCATCAAATCTCCCAAGATTCTGCCAGAGCAGCATATAATATTCCAAATATATGTACACTGAATTGTCTTTAACATTTTGGGTCTCATTCAAAACACTATTGTCTTCAAGGTAATATTTTCTGAAGGGAATTAATTATTCATATCCTCAGAAAATGTTATGATAAGGAAGAACAGCTTATGTCACTTCAGACATCTAAAAGTTACAGATATAAGATTGAGCCAGTCACCCTAGGCTCCCTTGATAGTCACTGGAAAGAAATTGGCACCTCTAAAGGGCAATCCATCTGACCTATCCTAGATACCGAACATAGGTTGGGATGAACCATTCCCTTGAGGTGCCTATTTCTCTTTGTTGACTATAAAGAAAGAATAGGGTAAGTTAAATAGAGAGATTTAGATTTTTTTTTATGCCTAAACTAGGGCAGATTAATCTTACCCTAGGAGAAAAGATGTCAGGCTACTTTGTACAGAAAGTTCATAAGAATATAATGGGGGTCAAATTGAACTCTGTTCAAAACAGGGCAAGACTTGGTGAATTTCTTAACATGTTAGGCTGAATATATATTCAGTATAATTGGACAGTCAAGAAAACTCAGGAACACTGTAAACAAAGAGGATTTTCTGATCAAACAGAAAGAAAGTATCTGTTCTAAAGCAGCAACTTATTTCATATTTAATGCTAAGAATTTTTTTAGGAGTTCAGACTTAAAAAAAATAAATTGATAGACTAAATTTAGCTGCACTTTTAAGAAAATAAATTAACCCTCCTGATCCTGGTGCTGTACCCATAGAAAAGATTAAAGTCAACACCCTCCTTATAGGAAGGAGACTTTCAATAAAGAGGCACAGGCTTAAAGACAAATGCAGAACCTGAACTATACTGAATGCACGTCTGCAAGTTCGTCAGGGTTGGGTGGAGAAAATGGTGGGTTTGGAAGAAACTGCCTGGAATATAAGAGGAATAACAATTTCTTGCTCAATTAATTTACAAGAACTATCCTATATCAATTAAATGTATATTTTAAAATTGTAATTGAAGTTGTTCTTAAAATATGGAAATTGCTTGCAAAGTAGCGAAATTTATTTTGTCCTCCTATCTTGAATTTCTATTGCTATAACCTGCTAAATTGGGCATGAAATGATTTAAAGCTTTTTGCCAGGGTTTTTTGGTTGGTTTGGTTTGGTAATACCATCTTAAAATATAAACATTCCACCTTCATACAAAGTGCAAATGAAACCAAAGCATTTTAAAAGGTTGTTTTTAACCATAAAACCAGATCAAAAACTCCTCATATGATAATATTTTAAAATCTATCAAAACCTTGAATATAAAGACTAAAGGAAAGGCAGCACTATACTATGATTCTGTGTTTGGGAGCACCACAGGGACACTAGAAGTATGTGCAATATGAAATAGATACTATGAAATAGAACTCTGGAGTTTATCAGAAGTTATATCAATGCCAACTAAATGAAACTAGGAGTAAAATTTTCCATAGTGACAATCTTTTTTCATAATGGTGCTTTAAAAGTGTCCGTAGGTGACCCTAGAAGGAGAACACCAGATAAGCCACAAGTAGGATGCAGTACAGTTATTTTAATAGTGGAATAAGAAAGACAGAGATGATCCAAAAGGTAAGAACTGAGCATAGCATTCCCCCAATCCAGACTGGAGCAGGAGCTGAATAGAGTAAAATGGAGAACCCTGATGGGAAAGAAGGGTAAAGGATATACTTGGAAAACATATCAACATTAGATAGCTTAGTATTTAACTTTCAACATAGCACAGGTAGAGACAAGTTCAGTGAGGAATATTTACCTAACTGAAAGCATGCACTTGTATATAAAATGTGCTTTTTTCTTACACCAGACTTAATGAAATAATTCAACAATATAACATTTCCATTTTACAGATATGATGGTTTTCATGAACCTTTCTTTTACTTTTTACCTACATACTGTATTCAACAGAATGATCCATGGTTTTTATAGTGGATAAGCACACAAAGGTCATGGAATCAGGCTCCACACCTGGCTGAGCTACTCAGCAGAAATGCAGCTGGACTGTGGAAACCAATTCTGTTAAATTCAGCAGGTGTCCCCCAAAGCAAGTAGCTAGGAACTACTTATTTCACTCAGACCAGTTTCTTTAATTTCATCCTTCCTGTGCACCACTGATTCCAACAGGCCTCACAAACAACCTCCTATAATGGAGAAGACTTAATGAGAAAATGAAGCCAATGTTCTGGATTAATGCCTTCCAAAGTCACAGGCTGTTAAGTAGGTGGCCAGAACAATTTTCAGACACGTTCTCTAATCATCAAAAGGTCCTTAGTGTCTAAGCAATGACCGCAAGCACGATTTTATTAATGCTTATTGCTTAATGCTTATTGCTACTGCATTCAGATTTCGAACAGAAAGTTGCTGCCAATCAGCCTTAAAATAAGCTTAAAAATCTTCCTACTTGTATGAATGTCAGTTAAACTGCTTATAATATTTGATGGCAGGTTTTGACTGTGAAATTAGAAAAACATTGGATGATGATGTCCTAGTAAGCACAGGACACAATTATAATGACAGTATTTGTTACCGTGAATGCTGGGGTATACTATCAAACACAAAAATTCTGGGTGAAATCTTAAGAAGGAAAGATTTTAAATATAATCTTTTCTTAAATAATGTACTTTCTTAAATGTAATACACATTTCTTGTGATCACTGTAGAGGAAGTTATTCTCTAAAGGAATTTAAATACCTAAGAGCTGGTGGTTAAAGACTTGCTGACACTGGAGAAAATATGAACATGAGGACTGGGTGGAAAAAGAGTAAGGAGAACAGTGCAAGAAGGGAATGAATTGGGTATGAAGGTTAGAGCAGAAAATTGGGGGCAATTAGTCTGGAACACTGCAGAGAGGCCATTGTTCCTGGCTAGGACATTTGCTGAGACTGCAAATCACATATTTATTTATTTCTGCTGAACTAGCCTTCTAAGTAATAAAGTGCTTCAAGGGCACAGACCAAGAACAGTAACATAATTCATTTGAAATTAAGTCACAACAACCGGCTTATAGATAAATGGATAAAGAGCTACATATTCTCCTGGTATAAATTGGGTGTAACGTCATTGGAGTCAATAGAATAGTGTCATTCTACATCAGGAGAGAATTTGTTCTACAACACAAGCAATAGTTTTGGCAGTTATGTCCCATTTTCAGTAATACCAAAGCTACAGAAAAGTCCCACTTGCAGCTTCTTCTTGACCTGTCTAGTAGCTCTGTCTAACTGCTGGAAGGGTCCCCCAAGAATTAAAAATTCCCTGGTGGTGACATCCAGAAACAAAATTTTGGAATGAAATTCTGACACTATTTGCACCTGGAAGTTTCTGAGCTCAATAGCACTATTGTATGACACACAAATTTGGTAAATTGATTCCTATAGTTCTTTGCCATTTAAATGTCTGAATATTTGTGTAGTAATAGATACAATATCTGCATAAATGTAGGTTCTTTGACACCTTCAGCACTGACATTTCCTCCATATAAAGCATGATCAACAAAGGAATGAGATGAGTCAATTTGTCCAGATTGAACATTTGAAAAATTTTATTCCTTAATGGAATTTCCACATTGTTTTTCTCTTTAGGCATTTAAAAATGATGTTGTACCTTAAAGCAATGATAATTCTCTATTTCACAAATTGCAGAGTTTTACAGGGATGCCAAAATGCTTCAAAACTTAATTGAAATACTTGTCTCTGCAAAGGTATTGCAATTCTTTCTTGCTCATATTTTGTCGTGTATTTGTTTCTTTCTTGTTATCACTTTTTGTTGTTGTTCATTCTGACATTTTTCAGGTGAAAAAAGAAACTAAATCTCTTTGAGAAGGCAGATGGATCTAAGAGCAGCATAAGCCTTACTAAGAATATGCCTTTTATTCTAAAATATTTATATCTTTTTAATTCATGTTCCTGACAGCTCATGGAATCCAATAGGAAAGAGAAATGGATTTTACCAAAGGGAAAGATTTGTGCCAGAAGGTATTAGTCATTTCCTAAATATTTTTACATATTCCTTCATGGTCTTTCAACAAGCTACATGGACTTCTGAGAGTCTTGTACCCTCTTTAAATTTCTTCTTCGGTCTGCTTAAATGCAGATAAAAAAGGAAGAGAATAAGAAATTGTTATTGTCAATGCTGCTTGGATCACAGTCAGCTACTTAGAGTTATGACAAGCACCTTTTCATCTTTTTAGTAAACAAGAAGTCTTAAACTGTGTCTGTCCATACCCTGATGTGTAACAATAATGACAGGACAACAGCTTACACTGGAGGCTTGTGGAATCTGGAAACTTAAAGAAAAAAAATGTAGCCTGCAGTGCTGAAGGATTCACAACAAATTTAGACTGTCTGCTAGTGATCTGCCATAAACATATTTTGGTGCTGGAAATACTGTGACTGTGTTACTGTCATAGCAGGCTACGTCTACAACGGGACTTGCACACTGAGCACCAACATCGAGGCTTCACTATTTTGCTCAGAAGCCTTGCTGGACTGCCACCTACATCTATAGGCCACCCAAGCCCCTTTATTCCCTACCCAGTGATCTCTGTAATAAAGGTCCTGATACTACCACACTGCTTTGTGCCTATGCCCTGGTAAGGCTGTTAAATGGCTGGTCTCACCAGGGACTTCCAGTATGGTCAACTCTCTTATATATTTGAAAAGCATCACACAAAATGCTTTTATCCCGTATCTTAGTAGTCTCCTAGGACAGAGAGTCTGAGAACTGAATTCTCACCTTTAACCCCGGCCTCCTTTGAGAGGAGTACTCTATTACTATATTGAGAGTGGCTGGGACTTTCCTGTCAGCTTTCTCGTTGTTCAGTTTTTATTTTTCAGGTTTTGGGTAGCAGTGTGTAAAAGAGGTGTCTAGGGCTCTTATATAAGAGAATTCTTGTGTCAGAGAAATAATTACGTCTTCTTGAGGAAGGGTTTGAGGTCCTACCCTTCTCAATCCTCAGTATTTTCAAAGAGCTTGACTATTTCATGTGAATCCCTGTTCAGTTTACAAGTTTCTGTGACACCTCGCTTTCCCCATGTATTGAAAAAGGACAAAATATAGTTTGCCTGCAGAGCTCTCAGAAGTTAGGTATTGCAGTACTTAAATTCTTCTCTGGATCCCTATCAATCTTCCGGGTGACCTGCAAAAGAAGGAAATCGTGCTGCATTTATATCCAGCACAGCATCTGAATTTCAACACATTACTATACTATAATTACAGCTAGGTACATAGAGATGCAGATTCAAGTTCTCTATTTCTGATGGTCTCACATCCATACAGAGAGGTAAGTGAAATGTCATAGCTGTGCAGAATATGATTCCTCTTTATCAGTAACCAATGAACACTATTAAATATAAAAAACATTTCATTTCCAACCCTCCTCTAGGTAATAATGGTTTTCAACATATTAAATTAACCCTGTTGAAATGTGATAAAACCAGTAAAGTTTCACCAGGTGTGTATTCGATTTGGTAACAACAACAACTTTTATCTGTGTTTCATTCATATCAAAGAATTCAAACTCCTAAGAAATGAGTTCAGATACTAATGAAATTCAATCACCCATAGGTGAAATGCAGCAGATTTCTGCATTTAAAAAAAAAAAAAGAAATTTACATAAATGTTCAGCACTGGTAGTAGAAAAGACTCTCTGAGACTTGATAAATTGTCTGTAACTGTCTTTTGTTTTACTCCCCTGAATACAGCAAAACATGTTGTGAACTTTCAGGGTGAAGTACTGCCACAGTTTTAGAAAACAGGAAGGCTAAATTAGGCCCTTAACACATAAGGAAATGTATGAGAAAAATGACTTGCTACACCACTGATCACTAACTGTCTTAGGTAGGTTCAGAGCTGCTTGATGAGCCACTTATTTGGGTAGGGACAGGGGACTGTTATTAAGAGAGGTATATGCAAGGAAATAAAAGGCATTCTCTCAATGAAAGGGTTTAAGATGTCAAGCACATGTTTACAGCAGTAACATTGAGCAGTTAAGTGTGATTCACGGTTTTAAAAGCAGAAGTCATTTAGCTTGCTAATTACAATAACAGCTGCAAAACTGAAGAATTCTTCAACTATTTATGAGGTGCGAAGACAAAGCTTGGAGACAAAGCATTAGAACATTTTGAGATCTGACCGTTAAGGTTTTCCTATTAAAACAGTCTCATCTGCATCCAGCAGTCCTACAAAATGTACTTTAGAAGCATCCTCAGTCTTTCCTGCTCAGTCCCTGTCTTGCATTATAGTTTTAGATGCTGCTGGTCCTTCAGCTGATTGTTTTAGCACATTGGCTGGGTGTTGAGTGTGTGAGAGGCCCCAGCTGGCTATTGTGAGTTGAATTCTTATATGCCTGCAGAAAGTTCAATGCAATAGCAAGTCCTTTCGCAGGATGACAAGGCCACAAACCACAAATGCTTAAAACAATTCACCTGAGTTGTGGCTTCTGACTTTTTCTTCTCTGTGGATACCACAACCGTGAGAAAGTGGGCAGTGACCTATGCAACAATTCCTATTGGTCCATACCCAGGTCTACTTCCTCCAACTTGTTTTTTTTCTGAAATTCACTGTTTCTCTTCCATTTCCTCTACAGATGTGAATCTGTTTTCAATTGGAATATATTATAATATATAGCCTAGTAGATAAACAGCTGGTTCTGTTCAGCACTGGTAGTAGAAAAGACTCTCTGAGACTTGATAAATTGTCTGTAACTGTCTTTTGTTTTACTCCCCTGAATACAGCAAAACATGTTGTGAACTTTCAGGGTGAAGTACTGCCACAGTTTTAGAAAACAGGAAGGCTAAATTAGGCCCTTAACACATAAGGAAATGTATGAGAAAAATGACTTGCTACACCACTGATCACTAACTGTCTTAGGTAGGTTCAGAGCTGCTTGATGAGCCACTTATTTGGGTAGGGACAGGGGACTGTTATTAAGAGAGGTATATGCAAGGAAATAAAAGGCATTCTCTCAATGAAAGGGTTTAAGATGTCAAGCACATGTTTACAGCAGTAACATTGAGCAGTTAAGTGTGATTCACGGTTTTAAAAGCAGAAGTCATTTAGCTTGCTAATTACAATAACAGCTGCAAAACTGAAGAATTCTTCAACTATTTATGAGGTGCGAAGACAAAGCTTGGAGACAAAGCATTAGAACATTTTGAGATCTGACCGTTAAGGTTTTCCTATTAAAACAGTCTCATCTGCATCCAGCAGTCCTACAAAATGTACTTTAGAAGCATCCTCAGTCTTTCCTGCTCAGTCCCTGTCTTGCATTATAGTTTTAGATGCTGCTGGTCCTTCAGCTGATTGTTTTAGCACATTGGCTGGGTGTTGAGTGTGTGAGAGGCCCCAGCTGGCTATTGTGAGTTGAATTCTTATATGCCTGCAGAAAGTTCAATGCAATAGCAAGTCCTTTCGCAGGATGACAAGGCCACAAACCACAAATGCTTAAAACAATTCACCTGAGTTGTGGCTTCTGACTTTTTCTTCTCTGTGGATACCACAACCGTGAGAAAGTGGGCAGTGACCTATGCAACAATTCCTATTGGTCCATACCCAGGTCTACTTCCTCCAACTTGTTTTTTTTCTGAAATTCACTGTTTCTCTTCCATTTCCTCTACAGATGTGAATCTGTTTTCAATTGGAATATATTATAATATATAGCCTAGTAGATAAACAGCTGGTTCTGCAGTGGGATATATACATCTGGTCACGCCCCTACTAAATATGCCAGGGATGATCTGCACACAGTCCATGCTTAACAGGACTTTGAAAAATTTCCTTTATCTTTTGGAAGCAAGGAGGTGAGATTTCTTTATGAAGAACCTATGAAAGGGTCATTATCCTGTTTTTTGAGGCACATCTAGATAGAAAAATCTAGGAAAGTTACACCCTGCCTAAGGAAGAAACAGTGAAATACACAGTGAAGGAAAGTAAAAATGCTTTTACATAAAGCTGATCTGAGTCTCTCTCACAAGATTGAAAGTTATATTAAAAAGCAGTGCAGGGAAATGAAAGCCAAGGCACAATATCTATCAAAGTAGTGTAGCAAAGTACATAAACAGCCCTTTGACAGCTATCAAGCACTGGATAGCACTGCAATGGCACTGGCACTAAATGCAAAAAAATCCTGTACTGGTCATCCCCTGCCATATGTTGGGCAGTCTCATACTAAGTGGTACTGTGTATGCTATGCTATCCTTAGGAGAATGCCATTAACTCTCTCTCTGGAGACTTCTTCTTCTTATTTCCCCTATGAAAAAGATTTCTAGAGGGAGCCCATGATAGAAGCTTCTTCTACAACTGTCTGGACAATACCTGGGAGCTGCTCTTCTATGGAATAAGAAAGGGAAAGGAAAGAGGTAGCTGGCAGATGCTCCCTCTTGGGCAGGAGCAGCTGGAAATCAGGTTTCACTTAGTACATCACCTGTTGCCTGTCTGCCATCTTAGCATGTTTTTCTCAACAGCAACTAACTCCTGTTCCTGAAGAATAAAGACTACTGTGAAATCCACCATAGGAAACAGTCCTTGTCTCCTTTTATTTCGCATCCTCATTGGTTAAACATTTTGAGTAGGAAGGGCCCCTCTGTTGTACTTTTCTTTCCTCTGACTATCTCTTTTTTGCCCACCTGCCAGCCTATCTACATGAATAAAACCCACATTTAATATGCAATGGTTAGTGGAGATGTACTGGAGAACTTGCTACTAAATAATGTCATTTAGCTAATTAAGTTAGACTGCTAATAAAGCTAATGTTAGAAACAATAGTTTTGGCAACAGGAGCTGGGAACTGTGGAGGAGAATGTGCTTGCTGTTTGGATCATATTCACCTTTTAAAGTGCTATTTTGACATTCATAAAGCAAGCACTCCTTGGTGGAAAAAGAGAGTGCTTTCAGAGCTGCATAGATCAGTAATAACTACAGAATCAGGGGATAAAAAAGGCTGTTTAAGATTCTGGGTGGCTCTCGCACCAAACTCTGTGTCCTCCAGAGAGTTCAGAAGCTCACAGCCAGCGTCTTCTGGAAGCATGTCACCTTCGGTTGCTATTGATCAGTAGCTACCTACTGTTGTGCTGGAGATTCAGCTCACCAGCAACAAAGTATTGTAGGCACCAAGGGTGTTGCACAACAGTGCACAGAGTTTTTTGATGACTAAAGTAAAGAAAGAGATATCTTTGAATAAGGTCAGAAATTACTCAGTGATAACATGTTTTCATGTTATCTGTGAAAGCATCACCATGGCTCTGTTGACAGAGGTGAGAGACTTCTCCAAAACACTGAGAAACAACCACAGAGGCTATGTTGTTTTTTTAATACTGAAGAAAAGAGCTTCTTTCTCCTGTTTTTGTCTTCGTTTTTATCAAACTGAACCTACACCATTTTATTTCAGTTTTATGCAATAATACTTTGTGAAAAGTGATTTATTTTTAGTGTATCAGCAAAATATTTCCCAAAGGTGGTCTTCTGAAAGTATAAAAAATTGAAGTGTATAATAATGTCTATTAAAAAATTAAAATTGTCTGAGATAACGATATGTTAAAAAAATTAAAACTATGCAAAAAAGAACTAAAGTTATGACAAATGGGATGCACACAACTCACCGAAGTACAAACATGCACATCAGTTCAGTTTACAGTGTGGTCAACATAAGGCCTTTCTGCCTAACATCTTTCCTGGAAACCCGTGGGCAGATTTTGCAGTATGTTCCCTCTTGAATTCAAGGTCCAAAACCTGGCTGCAAGAAACTATCGTTTTTTGTATATTCAGTGGAGGGAAATAGCTGTGCAGGTCGCAGTATGGAAGGTGATAACGATAGTTGAGCAACGTTAGCTGAAACCTGTTGACGATACTTTGCTTCCCATTCCAGAAGCTGCACTTCCCACCTCCCTGTTCTTCTCTGCAGCCCCTGAGATCATAGTAAGGGTCTATTCAGTCCTCTGGCTGGCAGTAGAAAAGTCTTTTTGAAACCATTGCCTGTTGTACTCAAGCAGAAATCCTCCACGCTTTGAGTGATCATCTGACTTGTTTACTTGAGGAATCCCTTACGAACTCACACATCTCCACCAAAAGAGTGGTAAAAAGGGGGCAGTAGAAAAAAACTGCTGAAGTCAGGAGAGAAGACACCATTAGTAGATATACAGAGTAAGACGATGCATAGATAATTTATCTCAGGCCAGAATTGCAATGTAATAGATTATCTTATCTATGTATAAGCAACCTGCTGTAGTGGGAGGTGTCCTTGCCCATGGCAGGGGGGTTGGAACTAGATGATCTTTGAGGTCCCTTCCAACCCAAACCATTCTATGACTCTATGATTCTATGATTCTATTGTGGACTTTTCAGAAGGCTGTATCACCATGGGCCTGATTCTCTTTTGACCAAGTTTCTGCCATTATTCCCCATGTGGTTTCACCCAACATTTACAAAAATCACATTCAAATTAGAACAATGTTAGCATAGTCATTATCTAACTGATTAACTTAACTTTGGGAAGGGTAAAGTTACTGAAATGCAGTATTTTTCTTTCCTATCAGCCTCATTTTTGTGACCAGCAACTGGCTGACTTCCTTTCACTTTTACAAGGGTTTTTGCACTTCCATTCACATTTCTACCTTTCCATCAGCAATTAGGAACGGTTGGATAAAATTTACGTCAATGTCAGGCTATTAGTATATAATTAGTAAAGGTGTTTGTGCTTGAGAGCATGCATCTGTGGGAAACCAGGGAATGGGGGGTAAGGTTCTTAAAGTCTAAGGCCCAGTCTTAAACATATGCTGTATATTTACTGTAATGGGGGAAACGTGGAGTTATTCACCAAACCCAAAAGTTCTGCAGCCTGCTATTGTAAGAGGCAGTGTTTGGCAGGCTTAATAAAAAGATGTGCCCTTCAGACTGCTCTCAGTTTGTCCTATCATGTCTTTTTCCATCTTCTGCCTTATAACATTTTCTATGCCTTGTAAACCAGTAGGAATTCATTCCTCAGTGGCCATACACAGAGGTTAATAAGCTCCCAGCAGCAGCTGACTTGGCACTAGAAAAGAAATACTCTCCCCTGCATCCAGTTCAGAAATGTTACCTTCATATCCCCTTCCCTGTTTTGGGAAACCGTACGGACACTAAGTCTTTTTCCACTTCAGTTCTTCTGGATGTAGGCTGGAAATGCAGTAAGTTTTTCCTCCTGTCCTGTAGCTGAGAGGCTGTTCATTGTGCAAAATGCTGGTCAGCGTGATGTGACACTGAGTCAGCCAGAGCCATGAGGTAGGTGTATCGACATTATTCCTTACGTCAAACTACGAAACAGGACTTAATCGTGTTAAAAATAACCATTCATTAGGTCACAGGGTAGGACAAGGTAACCATTACAATAGAGAAAAAGAAGATTTTGTGAGGGAAACAGTTTAAACCATTTGAAAACACATCTCTCGCCCATCCAGTGTGTCTGTCCTTCCTTCTGACCTTGCTCTCCATCCAGCAGGTTGCAGCAGACTCCCCCTGACTGTCTCAGAAAGTTTCCTTTCCGTCACCTCTGCCTCTGTGCTCTCTGCTTTCTCGCCGGCTCGAACGCCAGCTGCAGGCTGCCTGCCTTCTCCTCCCTCCACTTGCCAAAGGTTTTCCTGCACAGCCTCTAAGCTGGCTCTCAGAGAAAAAGAGAAAGAAGAAGAAAAAAAAAAAAAAACACCACAACAAAAAACCGACCAAACAAAAAACCAACAAAAACATCTCCCTCTCCCTTCAGAGGGTGCAAAATCTGGGACAAAACAAAGCAGCAGCTTTTGACCTTGCTGTCCAGCACAGCCTTTCAAACAAAACACTCTGCACAGGGAAACTGTGAACAAACAAATAACTCAGGCTGTTTAACATGTCACAGTGACAGAGTGGCGAACGGTAGGAAAGGCTAAAAGAATTTAAGAGATTATTGGAGGACAAGCGACTAATCCTATGTGTATTTCTCCCACATTTCTTACATCGTAAAATGTCATTCACTTATGTAGCCAGGAAGCAGAGAGAGAACTTGCTTGTTTAAGAAGAACAGATCAGGAAGGTACTGAGGATTTTTATTACTCAGAAGGATTCCTTCTAAGGTGATAAAAGAACATAGTTATCTATACTGGCACAAACAGCAAGGTGTCTCTGCCTTGTAATATTAGAGCCAAAATATGACACTTTCTGTGCCTTAAATTCCATTTTTTTTATCCTTGGAAGACATGTACAAATTCCACTATAAAATAAATAGAGTTTTGCACCGAGCACTGAGAATGTTAGAGGTTAAAAATATTCTCTACCTTCTGCCTAGTCCGTGCCCTGCCATCTCTATATATTTTCATACATATGCAAGTTTATGCTGCAAAAAGGTTCCTAGCAAGAGTTTGCTGTTCAAAATGCTATGCATTATACCTGATAAAATGCTGAGATAAAATGGAATTACAAAAAGCTATGAAACACAGCTCGGACAGCTTACGATGCTGGGCTAGGAAATATACCTCACAGGAAACTATGAAACCTGTAGCCTAAAGCATGGCACCAATCAATCTGTGAGAAAAACCAATATGTATGATGCCTGGGTTTCGTGTACTCAGTGAGCATATTCACACGATAAGGCTTTTTATCATTTGAATGTGCTGCACCAGAAGGGAAAGGATAAGAAGTACACTGTCACCAATTTGGAATGAGGTCTGTAGCATTCTGCCGGACAGGAAACGGACCACAAATGGGAGAAAGGGAGATGTCTAAATGCACAAGACTTTCTAAAAAAAACCCCAAACCTGCAAGAATGAAGATAATCATTACAGTATTTTTTTTTCTACAGATTTTTTTAATTATAATCCTCAAAAGATTTGGAGACATTAATTAATATAAATGTTGAAATGTCCTCAATTTACCTTCCTTTTATTTTCTTGCTCCTTGCAATTTAATATGATAATATGAGCAATGTGGAAGGATTTTTTCCACCTTTTCCATTCTTCCAGACCCCCAGTTCCTTAAACAGTCATGAGAACAGTGAAAGAAATATTAAGCCCTGTAATTTTTCTAGTCTGCCACTCTTCCAACATTCAGTTTTTTAAAGTTACAGGATTCCTTCTTTCACCATTCTGAAGCTTTCACAGATGCAAAGTTACAAATATAAAATAAATGCTAACAGAACTGTCACTCAGTGCATTGAACCAAATGGCAAAAATAGGGTAGGAAGAGAAAGGACGAGTAAGGGAAATTTAAAAAAAAAACAACAAACAAACCAAACCCAAACCTAAACCTTTGTCCAAGTTAGGTGCTTTTAAAAACAAAGGTATACACACTTTTTTTTGCTTGTGTCTTTTTTTTCTAGTTTGATTTTTGCAACACTGAAAAAACCTGCAATATACCATTTGTTTATGGTTTTGGCTTTGCGCAATGTTTTTCCGCTTTTCAATAAACTCTACTTATAACATGTAAATATCTGTGGCAAAGACCATCCCCCTGGAGTGATACAAGATGCATTGCTAAGCAACATTTTTTGAGTTTGCTTTGGTTTTGTCCTTTTGTTCTCTCTCGGAGTTCTTTTTGTTGTTTGCTTTCTTACCGTATGAACACAGAGGGAAGTTCCACGAGGGCCTCTTTCTGCAAATAATATGCATGCAGCTACTTAAAGATTTCAGATTTCAGATAGCCCATGCAGAAGATCATGACATTTATTAAATAACTTTGAATCTGATGTTCAGAAGCAGAATCCCAATCGAATGTGGGAATACAAATCCAGAGTATTTCCACTCTAGATTACCATTACTCTCTGCGTGCACAACTCTGCTGCAGGCTCAGCTTCACAGCAGAAAGTGATGAACTTTTCCATTTTTTTTTTCCCTTTCTCTGCACTTTGGTCATTTTGTAAAAGAAATCTAAGCACATAGGGCTACATGAGAGCCACAGAGAACTCCGGCATGGCTCCTTAACCAGGTGAGGACTTGGAGACACGCTGGAGTATGCAGTCTTTGACCGACTGCTGGCACAACCTCAGCTTGTCTGAGTCTCACCTAGCTAAATATAGAACACTCATACAACAGAGCTCCTTATATCGCTGAAAGGCAAGCATAAGCCTGAAGGTCTGAATGTGCATCTCCATACCTAAAATGTTTGAAAGTTGGACATACATGCTCTAAAATTGCCAACCCAGGCAGCAGAAATGCAAGCACACTTATGTTCATAGATTTGCGGTTGTGCAAAGTGTTCCCAATACAGAACACTCGGCCAAAAGCTAAAAACATAAATGCAAAACTTTTGGCATTTTCCTTATTAAAAAACAAAAAAAGAAAGAAAGACAAAAAAAAAAGAAGGAAAAAAGGGGGGGGGGGAAATCCTGTACAAGCTGCTTCTGAAGCTGCCATTTGAGAATATGAAGCTTTTCAGCTCCTCAAACAATATCATGTCTTCCTGCCTTGCTCTTCTATTCAGACCTGCATTTTTGTTGATGGCAGCATTAGGTTTTACACAGCAGCAGCTTCAAATGGGTTTACAACTGACCAGTAGCAGTCAGAAATGGGAAGTTTCCAGATGTTTATAACAAAACGCCTCTCTACAGACAAAGAAATTTTATATTGGTATGATACCGGGAGCTCCAAGGCAACCTTGACATAAATTTTCAACAAACATATTCCTGCCATTGCTAGCTGTGCTATCCTATCAATTCAGTGTGATTATCTAGTCCAATACCAGGAATCCACATTTAATAGATGGTTCCAGCAGCAATCCTCTGACACCATCAGCTAAAGCTTGTTCTCACTATCTTCTTTACCCTCATCTTTATTACTGTCTGCAAGAGAGCTTCCCAGTTCCATAAACTGGTATGTAAGGGCAAGTATTTGCTTCATAAACTCCTGCTGTTTCTCAACTGTTTGCTGGTGAAACGGAGGATTTTCAATATGGCATGTAATTAGCTATTACTGAGCGAGTAAAAACAGGAGCTAGAAGTGTTTGTTGTTGAAGTGTAGCAGAGAAAAATGTGATTTGTCAGGGTTGTTCCTTCCTACAGTTTTTAAATTGCACCATGTCTCTCCCAAAAATGAATTCATGAAAGACTACAGTATTTTTACTAGTGATCTCTACTTGTGGAAATGGAAACGCCTGGCTTCGCTCCAGAAAAATAAACCCTCTCTGAACAGAGACAACCTCCCAACATTGTATATAACAAGGCAGCACTGCAGATGATCATAGGACACTTAGGCATGGAGATGCACAGGTAATTCATGGACAGCCCTGTGCATTTTGATACAAATATTCATTTGTAATGAGATAAAAAAAACTAATTTGGGGCAAAACTTATATTCTGGGAAGTAGTTACATGAAGAATGTTACTTTGAGGTTTCACGCTTTCGTATTGTATTGGGCAATTGCATTTGTGTGCTCTTTTTCACTGAGTGCAGAAACCATTTTTACAAGCCCTGAAACTATTTGGTGGGGACAATCTGAGGCACTCTGCCAGTGCCTTTGTCACTGAACTATAACGTCCTCTAAGCACACCAGAGATCAAGGCCTCAGGCCACTGACAACTTCACTATAGTACAACTTCACTGTGATACTGTCAAATATCAGCACATAATACATGCAAATATTCATATTGAACAAGTAATTAAGCTTGAAAGTATGGTTGCAGTAACCACCAATCAAAAAACTTATTTTAATTATACCAAACTTACGTAGGTGCTGCTCTCTTTTTCTTTTTGTTTCCTTGGTGCTGCCTTTGTTTCTGCTTCGTTCTTGGCCTTCCTGACTACAGCCCTTCCTTGTCAGAATACTCCCACCTCTTTTGCTACCTAGTGCTTCCTAAACGTCTATCATCTCTACAGCTAAATTGCATAAAGCATTACTTTGCTACCAAAAAAACCAAGCCCGAACTGTGAGGGATCGCATTTTCCGATCTGATGCTCCTATGGACCATTTCCATTCCCCCAGCTATCTCAAGACAGGAAGCCCAGCTGTTCGCTTTTTTCACTTCTTTCATTACAGTTCACACTTTGCCTCCAGATACCCTGCTAGAGCAACTGTCTTCCTACACCAAAACCCTCCGGAGATGTAGAAACATTAGTGATCATGTTGGAAGGACTAATGTGCGGAAACCTACCCTGTCCTGTGTACGCTGTCTCCCTCAAGTTCTGCACAGGGAGCAGCAGTTAGTCTCACAGTGCTCCTCCATCTGAAAATTAAAGAGAGTGGATGAAATAAAAAAGGTTCCGTTCTCCTTATAAATGCATTTACCAGGCAAACATCCAAATCCGGCG